CAAAACTTTTCCCAAAATTCTTAAACAAAAGTTTAAAATTTTGGCGAAAATTCGCTGAATTTTTATATTTTCACAAAGTTTGAAATGTGAATTTTTATGGTGTTTGTTAAAGAATGAACTATATTTTTATAAGAAAATATTTAAAAATAAATAGCTGTTTTGGATTGGATTAAACAGGCCTGCGAAATCTAATTTTTCCCCTTTCCAATAATTATGTTATTTTTTTTTTAATATCTAGGTTAGGGCTGCCAGACGTCTTGGTTTTACAGGATTTGTCCTGATTTAGACAAATTGTCGTGGAGTCCTAGCCCACACTTCGATTGTCCTGATCTTTTAATGAAGGTCAATGCAGGCACTCCTCTAATTTTTAGCAGATTTTTGCTATGAAAAAAGGTTTAGCCTTCTGTCATTAGTAGTCGAAAACTGAAACCAAAACGCTTTTTCTAACATGTCGAATATCTTCTTTCTGTTTTGTTTATTTGGTCAAAATCTTTTCTTTTCAGGCGAATGCCGAAAAAGTGCAAGTTCCTGATCAGGTACGCGACTGAGGGGTCATACATAAATGCTATCCAGTAGATAATATCAGGATCTAAAATCTTATCCAAAAGGCTTTTCTGAAAGGTATTCCTTTCTCCTTCATTTTTTGTATGGAGCGGCACAAATTGTGGGGCTTCTGCTTTCGCTACTCAAAAAAGAGCTTTCAGAAGGGCTTTTGTATGATGCCGTTTGAAGAAGTTCTTTTAAAGTTTTTCTTAATTTATAAAAATCATACTTCTTTAAGGAATTTATTTAATGTTCATATCAAATTGTTTTATTTGGACTTGCAATTCCTATTGAATCTTTTTTGTAATGCTAAGTTATATAAACATATACTTAAGTAAGTATAAGCACTTTTTTCAGTCCTTGTTGGGTAAGTCTTTTAGAATGGCTTCACTTAAGACAGCCTACCTAAATTATCTTCAGCTTATGAATATAAATATTGGCAAAAATGGTCATGAAGTGCGTTGTAGGATATGCGGAAATTCGCTAATGGTGGTTGGGAAAACATTCAAGACCACGTTAAAGGCGCTGCTTTTTCAAAGTTACGTCACCGTCAAGATAAATTTGTTCGTTTATAATTAAATATTCAGAACTTGAGCGTTTAATCATCATCAACCTTTGAGTTCTACGAATTGTGTCACAAAACTACATTGCTTATAATATCAGAACCAAAGCAACTTTACTTATAGGGAATATATTGGCACCATATTCACTTGTGTCTTCGTTTTTAATTTGGATGATAAGTGTCTTAGTCGATGGGTTCAGGATTATGGCAGCCGTAATCTAGGTATGTTAAATTAAAATACATCCCTGGTTCTTTTCCAGCACGTCGAGATTTATTTTTATTGATGACATGTACTTACATGTTAGAATTTTTAGCAATTTCCATGAAAAACCAAAAGTGAATTTATTTAGAATAGAATTTTTACTTAAAAGCCAATAGTGTTAGTAATAATATTCATAAAGAGTCTAAGTAAATCAGAACGACTTACGTTATTTTGAAGTTAACGCTAGTAATGCACGGCAATGCTAAGAAAAATTATAAAAATAATTTTCTCGAAAAGTTTTCGTGACGACGAATTTTTTAAGGGCCAAACTACACAGGCCTGTGCTATTTTTGATTACGTACTTGGATGTGAAATAACCCATTTTCTAAAATTTAAGCAGATTTGCGCTCTAATGCAACGAACATACTTATTTTAAGCCATCTTACAAAACCATTTATCAAGATAAAAAATCCTCATACACAAATTTTGCCACTGATAAAACCTATACCTACATACATATGTATCTGGCAAACAAAATGACATATGGTAGGCCATAATTTCCTCCTGAGGAGACGCGTCGTTAGCTAATCTATCAATCTTATAAATGGTAAAATATTATTGATTAGGGCTAAAGACGGTTACACTGTTCAACTTTCGCAGGCGATTAGTTGAATCAAATGTTTACATCATTTAACAGAAATTGGAGCAATGTAAACGCTTATTAAATACAACGATTAGAAAATAAAATTTTGAACGCAATTTTTTTTTTAAGTTCATTACTGCTACAAAACTTGAAAAGGAGGACAAGGAGGGCATTTTTGCTCAAAAGGAGGACAGAGAAGGACAAAATTTTTGAGGAGGACAAATCATGTTTGAGGAGGACAATCCTCCCCAAAGGAGGACGGTTGGTCAGCTTATATATGACAGTTTATGTTTGTCACATGAACCACGTATATGGTAAGTACAACAGCACATACATTAAAAATCGAAAACATAGTGAAAAATTCTTGCTATAATGTGCTGTGTTTATTTTTTCTTCGGATAAATTAAGTTTACGAAAAGTTTGAGTACACTGGAAATTTTCCATGCAGGTATTTCTCCTCATTGATTTATAGTGAACAAAACCATTGTGGAAAATTGTGGCTGTGTTGTGTTCTTTGGCTTCGAATGAAGTTTTTCAAGTGCTCTTTTACTGTCGATTGTGAATTTCATTTGATTATTTAAAAAAAGTGCGTTTACCAAACGATTTATCGAATTCGTTCCTATGCATTGAGTTTTTCATTCGCTATTGAATAAAATGCCACGATCCCGTCGTTCAAATATAGGCCGACGTACGCGTCTTGCGAACATGATGTTATCGCAAAGAAGATCGCAAAATGTTGAGGAGCACTCCCAACAAAAGGAAGTACGGCGTGCAGGAGTTTTCATTAATTTTTCAATATTTGGTGTAGAGAAGCACACCGGAGTACCGCTTGGAATCAAGGGATGCTTTTTTCATAACAAAATACCGAAGTACTCCACATTAAAACTGGTATATCTTGAGAAAGCAAAATCGAGTCGCATCAAACGAAAATGATGCCCTAATTAGAAATGAGCAAGTAATTTGATGTTTTCATTGTATAACCTCAAATATTGCTAAAAACCGTGTTTTTGGCACTTTGAGGTTAGGATATCTCAAAATTCTAGTGCTAGGGCAATTGTGAGGCCAGATTTGGATTCAGCACCAATAAACGATGTGTTTTACTCGGGTGGTAAAAAAAAACAAAATTTGTACAAATAATTAGAAAAGAAAAAAATAAATACTTAACTTACTTGCGTACTAGCATTTTCAACGCGAATAGAATTTAACAAGGTGGGTTTGCAACTTCAGCTTTTTATCAATCATGGTTGTATTTTAGTCCATTTAAATTTGTAGATTCTTGTAAATTCAGTACTGCCACAGCCTTAAATATTTCAAATTATTTCAGGTTTTAACTATCTCGAAGTAATTTTAGTTCAGAAAAAAAAGCACTTAAAAGGCACTGGGCACTAAATAATTTTTTTTTTGGCGTTTTAGTTTTCAAAAAGCACTAAATCTAGTGCTTAAAGCACCAAGTTGGCAACTATGGCGCTGGTATTCAGTCATCCTCTAATTTCTTTTAGGTATCGATACTACTAAGTCAACGCGCTGGTCAGTCATACAAAGCAGCAATATTGATTGAGTATGCAACAGTTGGCGTTCAACGCATGCCAGTCTCTGGCTCGTACGCGTACGTATTGGTGGCAGTGATCGGACTCCTACCACATTGTGGTAGATCTGCCACTTTTTTCAGAATCTACCACATCTACCACACAAGGTCTGAAATCTTCCACATATTTGCGTTTTTGAGTAGTTTATTTTTGCTCGACATAATTTTCTTAAATTTATGAGCAAAAGTTGTCCAACACTAAACGCTAACAACAGGCAAAATGTGAGGATTTTGTTAAATTGCAAAATATATGATTTATAAAAACGAATTAGTAGCGAAAATGTTAAAAAAATGGCGAATTTTGTGAAAGTATTAGCAAATTTCAGTGCATCCAAAGTTTCTAAAGCGTTGTTTACTTTTACTTGAGAATTGTCAAAATCGGCAAATCTCAAGTAGCGTTTTTTGGAATGTGCCACACTTGTTCGCTACATCGTGATGTGATAAAAAGAAAAGCTGGCAGCACTCCATAAGGTTGCAGAAATTTCTTAGAATATGCTCGAAAAATATCTTTATATGGAAGGAACTGCTTTACACTGTCAAGGAAAAAAATTGCCAAAATTCAACGCAATTTTAAGCAACTTTAATCTTGCACTTTATTATACTAAAATTAATTATTATTTTTTTAATGCCAATTAAAATGTTTAGGTGAAACCTTTCCGGATTTTTTTAATTTTTGTACAAAGTTTGGCCCAAAACCTGAGATCTACCACATTCTTTTGAATTCGACCACATTTTTTTCCAGATTCTACTACACAAATTTTTTTTCAAGTCCGATCACTGATTGGTGGACCAAAAAGCGTGCGTGGTTTAGTGCGGGAATGCAATAGAAATTCGTGTGTGTGTGTTCGCTGCACTTGGTTTATGCAGGAAATTCATAAGTCCCTTAAATACAGCTTTTCGATATAAGTTTCCATGGAATGCTGCAACTAACTTTGGAGTCGGCTTTCTTTCGACTATGAATATGCCCCAATGATTCCAACAATATTTTGACCACTCAGCGTGGACCTTAACTACAGCGATTGTCATTTAAGGCAATAACAACTACAAACAATATTTTTCGTTTACACATTTTGCAAAGTGTTTGGCATAACTTCTCCTACAATCTATGATGTGCGTCTTGATGTTGTCACGCAAATGCAAGGAACCTACAGTTTTACGCTATCTCCGAACAGCAGACAGTTTTTATTTTGTTAGAAGCGAGAGGCCACCGCTCTTGGAAAAATCTTTGGCGTGGGTGGACCATGAATTGAACCGGTGTCCTGCAAGGTGTAGTATGCACTTGTAACCGCTCCGCTGTAGCGGTCTCATCCTTTTATTTTACAGGACTTTAATGAGATTTTAGCCATACCTAATAATTTGCTGAAGGTTTTTGAAGATCTTAATGTAAACTTTTAACAATATTAATAGAATAAGAATCAAATATTCAAGTTTTTTCGTGTGTATTGTCATACTGTTATATTTGCAGTTATGAACAGGAATCGAAAACTCAATTTGTTATTGATGCAGTTTACGCATTCGCGCATGCCTTACACAAACTTCACAACGATCTCTGCTTGCCAAATGATAGTCAAAATGACCAGGTAACGGCAGGCTATGGGAAATCAGCTCAACAGCATACCCCGTCAATTTGGTATAGAAATCAATTCGGCACTGAGTCTCACGCATGCCCGGAAATGGCAAACTATGATGGCAAGGACTTCTACAACAACTACTTGTTGAATGTATCATTCATTGGTAAGACAGATTTTATTGCTGCTCTTAGGTTTTCTCTTATAGCGTAGACAGACAGCAACGTTTATCCAGATCAACGGCGCAGTTGACCCGATGAACATTTGCAATTTAAGTTAGCCGCATGGTCACGGGTTCGAATCCCACTGCCACCAAAATTTATATACAATTTTTTTTAATTACTTTAAAAATCACATTTATTTTTTAATGTAATTATATTTTTTAAAAAAATTTATTTAAAAAAGTAAAAAATTAGCTATGGCCATTCTGCTACCGCGGAAGCCAAACACACTTTCTTTGTTTGCTTCGTTTATTTTTCATTCACAATAGACAGCAGCTGGCCATTTTGGCCAGTCTTGTTATCGAAAATTCCCCTGAACCGCATACATTTGGAAATTAGCTGTAGGAATTAATCCGGATAAACTATAGTTAATTCCCGAGATAATTCTCAATTAATGAGTTGCTCCGAATCAACCCTGCCGTCTGTCTACGCTTTTACAAAAACTATATTTGTATGTAGTATGTATGTATGTATGCATGTGTACAACCAAATTTAATCTTTTAGACTTAGCTGGAAGTGTTGTCAAATTTGATCGGCAAGGGGATGGATTGGCGCGGTACGATATACTCAATTATCAACGATTGGAAAATTCTTCAAGTTACCATTATAAGGTAGATTTAAATAATTTAGGACGGATTATTCTTTCACTTAAAATATAAACTTAGAATTAATATTTGTACCAGTATGATTATATATCGTCGTTTAAAGTACAAAACCGCGTATCAACAAAATGTAAAACCGCGTATGTGAGGTTGCATAAATTATTTTCTTGAGAGTAAAAACATTCATATTTCAAAATGTTCTCTTTTTTATAAAGCAATCGCATTTCTGGCTAATATATTTCAGGACGAATGGATAAGGATTGAGCCAAGAGCTTGTGTGAGCAAATCCAATTTTTGGCAGAAAATGTCAGTTACGCAGTTTTGCAGAATGACTTTACACGGTTTGGTATTTTAAACGGCGATATAATATATAGTGAATGCAGGCGGCATGGCGCAATGGGAGCAATGTGGCTAGTCATGTCGGCTGGGCGCGGGTTCTAACTCACAACTGTTCCCTGCGCCATAGCACATAACACTCATGACATCTAAAACATCTCAACTTCCGGCCAGTGTTGCCAGAGAAAGTCCCCTAAAAATCTTTATTTTTTCCAAAAAAAATCTTCAAAATAAGATTTTAAAGCTTAAAAAATCTTTTCGATCCCAAAAAATCTTCATTTAATAATACCTAAAAAGAAAACGGCTGTAAATAGCCCTTATTATGTTGGTTGAAAAAATTACGAATTTCAAGTTATAAAGTCCTTTTTATAACAACTTCAACTTTAAATGAATATTGCCTCGTATCATCACAAAATTTGTAGCACAGTTAACATATGTATATACACACTGGCGAAAATATAAATAGGGACGAGACATTTTGCAATTTTTACCGACTTCAAAAAAGGAGGAGTTTATCAATTCGTGTGAATATTTTTTTTATGTATATATGTTACCGCATAACGTTTGAGCTTTTTAATTCGATCTTTTATTGATATTTTTACATGGACGTTGTTTTATAAATCTTACCACCCCTTTTTTCTCGTTATACATTTATCCATGTAAACCTATCAGCAAGTTTTTCTTAAATGGGAGTTTACTTGAATTTCCAATTGTTGTCATGTTTACTAGAGGGGATACAAAAGACCGGTTGTTCTTTTTCTCCACTCTCTAGCTCTGCACTAGAGTATATGTTTTACTGTGCGAGAGAAGAAGGCAGACAATATTGTAGGGGATTTCGTATTTCATTTTTCTTCTTCCTTATTTTGCTGCTTACAATGATGTAGCAAGGATAATATAAAGAAGTTAACAATTTTAACTTAAACATTAAATATATTAGATCATACACACAAATCTTCATTTTGAAGATATTTTCAGTGTAAAATTTTACTTTTTAAAAAATCTGCTTTTGAAGATTTTTAATAAAAAACAGCCCAAAAAATCTTCATTTTCAAGATAAATCTTGACTTATGGCAACGCTGCTTTCGGCATGGCCGGAACGGACAAAAAAAGTTCAAAAAAGAACATTACATATAAACTTTTAAATACAGGAGCGAAATTAAACGAATATAAATGCGCCACTGACCGTCCCACCCTAATGTCGGTAGTCCCATAATTACGTGCATTCTTTTTGCAACCGAGCTACAAAAGAACACTCGCTTAAATAACGAAATACTTGCAAAGCTATTTATCTGAGTTCAGCCAGGTCCGTTAAAAAATACCCGACCTGAAGGAATTGATCATGGGATAGTGGAAAAGGGAAATTTTTGTTTCCTTTTATACATGATTTATATTTTAAACTAGCTGTACCCTGCCACGCTTTGCTGTGGCATATTTCTGTTATATGGACGATAAATTATTAACGAAACAAAGCATACGTTTCATATGTGTTTGGTTATGTAATAAGTGTACGTGTGCACACAATATTTGTTATTTTTCCATTCTCTGCATAGATATCAAGGATATCTGGTTTGCCGACACAGGAACACGCAACATCTGAGAAGCAATCCGCATCTAAATCTAAACCATACTTTTCCAAAGTTCGACCTGGAGCATTATTGATTGTGATTCCGAATGTCAATCGAATTGGGAATTCAAATCTTTTAAATTGAATCATCATCATTAAATGGAATCATGGGAATTCTTCACCTTTGAAAGGCCACGTTAAAATCTTTTCTTACATTACGTTCTTCATCAATTTCTTAACTGCGAGTCGCATTCCGTTGCAGAGTTTTCGCTGATTAATATTCCGCAACATGATAACTGTCAAACCTATTTTTAATTTCAGTATGTGAGGTCTCCCTGGAAGATTAATCGAGTTCAAAAATTTCGTTGGATGGTCTTTTTCCACAACGGTGTTTATCGACGTATATGCTATTTCCTCACGTTGAATGCTGGATTGAATAACATTAGTGGTATTCACCAAAGTGAGCAAGTGGTCTGGCAGTCTAGTAAAAGAGCTGATCAGCTCAAGCAACGACTGTTGTCAATACCACTATTATTTAGTTGATAGGCCTCCTTATTCTTCGCAGCAAGAATAGCCCGTTCACTGAGCCAATCGTGATTCCTAAAATTAATTTTCTTAATAAAGAAACATTCTTTCGATCAGTTCTCCTTTCGATGTTTCTAATTTACAAAAATTATCAGGCCATAAAATTCGTCTTAATCTCTCATTGACTGGCAGCTTTGCGTTCCCAATGTCCAGTTATTGTCGCGCGAATACTTCAGCTGCAGTGTATGTATGTTCGTCTTGTCGCAATGTTGACTATTTCAGGCAAGCATTTATCTCTCGTGTTAATCGAGAAACTACAGACAATGTTTTCGTAAAATCTCCTGCGAGCAATATCCCGAATGGTTGAACGTTTCCACGCAAATCCCGCAACAATGGATCAAAAGCCTCAAACGATTTTTTATGTGCCATGGTGCACTCATCCCAAACAATGAATTTAATTTTTTGGTAAACTTTTTTCATACCGGATGCTCTGGAAATATTGCACGTGGGAGTTTCGATGATTTATATGTTCAATGGCAGCTAAAGAGCTGAATTGGCAATGTTTCCACCTGGTAATAATGTCGCAGCAATTCCAGACGAAGCGATAGCTAAGGTAATGTAATTTTTTGATCGAACCGTTGCCAGAATCCATCTGATAAGGAATATTTTGCTAGTTCCTCCTGGCGCATCCAAGAAAATGGTCCCCCAACTCCGTCATTTATCATTTGCATATTCTTCTTCTACTTTGGCTTTGTAACCGCCTAAGCCATTTTGGCCGAGCTCCACAAAGAACGCCAGTCATTTCTCTCTGTGCCAACTTGGTCTCTCCATTGCCATGGGTGCTTCCTATTCGTCTGCTACCACCATCGGCTTGCGAGTTGAATTCTTTTACACCTGAAACTTCGGTTCCTATTGAACGACATGTCTAAGCCAGCGGAGCCGCTCTATATTCATTCGCTGCACTATGTACATTTAGTTGTAAAGCTCATACAACTCATCGTTCCATCGTCTACGGTAACATCGTCGCCCATGCGTAGAAGCCTGTATATCTTCCGTAAGATCTTTCTCTCGGATACTCCAAGAGCCGCCTCATAAAATGTTGTCATTGTCTAAGCTTCTGCGGCATATAACAGCTCGGGCATGATGACTGACTTATAGAGTGCGGTTTTTGTACGTCGAGAAAGGACTTTACTCCCCAATTGCATACTCAGTCCAAAGCAGCACCTGTTGGCAAGAGTAATTCTGCGTGGGTTTTCCATGCTGATATTTTTATCGGTGATAGTGCTGGTTCCCTAGTAAATGAAATTCTCCACTTTCCCGAAATTATAACTGTCAACAGTGACGTGGGTTCCAAGGCGCGAACGCGGTGACTGGAGATACTTCGTCTTGTCCTCGTTTACCACCAGGCGCATTCGCTTTGCTTCCTTATCCAGCTTGGAAAAGGCAGAAGAGACTTCGCTATTTTTGTTACCGTTGATGTCGATGTCATCGGCACACGCCAGAAACTACACGCCCTTGTAAAAAAAATGTTCCTACATGGTTCAGTTCTGCAGCTCTTATTATCTTAACATTTGCATCATGCGATCGTAAATGCTCTTCTGCTTTCGCTTTAATTTGGGAATCCTTGATTGGGAATAGGAGTTCACAATAGTAATGATAATCATAATCATAATAATATTATCTCATGTTATTCAAAATTTCTTTACTCGCAATATACGTAGTAGGCCTTGGCGACCCCAAACGAAATTGCTTACGATTAAAAGTTGACTGATTTATAATGCTAGGGAATGGTGTCAACAATTTTATGTTTTCATTAAGTATTTTTTAAACAGCTTTCATGCGATAGTTTTTTGTTTTCGGTACTCTTTTATCATTTTGTTATTTGTTTCAGTAGTTTTTAGCCGACTTCAAAAAAAAGGAGAAGGTTATCAATTCGTCGGATTTTTTTTTATGCATGTTACCGCATAACTTTGGACCACGTCAACCGATTTCCAGGTGATCCCATACTAATTTGGTTTAGATCCGATCATTGGATCATGAAAAAATTAACGGTACTATTACACTTTTATATGAGAATTGGAGTCGGTGTGTTGTTTGCTTAAAAATTACTTGTTTATGAATTTTTTACATTAAGTAATTTGTGTACCAGCTCTTCGTTGATAATATGATCACTTCGTTTGATAAGATGTTGTAAATTCTATATTTATTTACAATGTTCGGATTTTGGATAAGTGGAAAGATTTAAAAAAATTCCCTAGTAAAGCTTTCCCAAATACTTTTCGTTTGGAACCAGTTATGTAATATTTCATTTAATTTCAATATTTTCAGTCTTTACTTTTAGATAGATGATAATCCTATAAAAAATATTTCCAAATCAAGATTTTTCAAATACCTTTCGTTTGGCACCCATATTGTTCCTCAAACATATTTTCGATTGTAAGTCTTCTTAAAACTCTTTAGTTTGATACCCACATTGCAATATTTCATTTATTTAATCAATCCAAAACGGTCCACCCTAATGCTTAATAATATAGGTACATATGTACGCATACATGTACACTAAAGTGGTCCAAAAATGTATGTA